CTTAATTCCCTCCATTCTCTATAAGAAGTTTTATTTCAGCAATCTTAGCAATTGTCAAGCTATGCACCCTCTCGAAACTAACATGCTATTTCCGGGTACTGTGGTTAAAATCCCTTATGTTTAACTAAAAAATGGACTTAAAAGGCCAGTGTGGTTATCACTGGTTTCCCCCCAGCTAGCCTGTGAATAACCACCAGAATTAGGGGCTTAATTCTTACATCAGCTTTAACAATAGGGGGAAAAAACCTGGGCGAACAGCTTAGTGCAATTCATCATCAGCAAAAAACCACTCATATAACTGACCCCTTGTCATTACATCAACTCACACATTTCAAAATCCACTGTTCTGCTAATAAACAGGTACAATGTCTGAGCAAGCAAACTTTGCTGATTTAAAAAAAGAGAAAAAAGCACAAGATTTATCACCAGTAATACCCCTTTTCTATGCCTCCATTTCTGTCATAGCTCAGTGCCGTGAACACTGAAGGTGAATATGTCAAACTGATTCAAAGGAAGGGTCATCTGAGAACTACTAAGTAAAGTTGCTTTTGAAACCTTTTTATCCACTGCTTCTGCTACTACCCGCCATGTACCAGTCAGCATGCTAGGTGTAAGAAAACAGAAGTGAGTATGCTTTGTTCCTGCCCTCGGAGGACTTTCAGGCCAAAGACAAGACAATGAAAATGACAAGACCATTAAAGACGGTGTTAGGGCCAAGAGCGGGTGAGGATTTTTAAAGGCCGCTCATGTGCCTTACACTAGCTGCAGTGTCTCCGAAACCTCAAGGCACTGGCTCAGACCACACGAGGGGTACAGACCCTCTTAGGCAGGCGTGACTCCAGCTGGGCTTCACTCTACTGCTTCTTGGCCTGTAACTTCCCAATGAACATTGGCCTTTTGCCTCACCTTCATTTTGCTTGAATGGGGTGTTTGCTTTGTTGACTGCCCACTACAGCGTACCATTCAAGAAGTGTGCTAGTTATCTTCCTGTTCTCTCAAGAAAATGTTCAGCACTTTCCATTTAGAAGAGAAAGTCCCCTCTACTTCCTGGGTGGTTTTTGATGACTCAGATTTTGTCTTAGCGGAGGATTATTGTGTCTCAACTAACACCTACTGAACACAGGAGCTGCAGAACAGAAATGATTTTATGGCCTCTGGCCTCAAGAATCTCCCTCTCTCACTGGCAAGTAGGGGAGACGTCTCTAAAAGAGCTGGAAAACAATGGGACAGGGATGTACAGTGCAGCAGGGGACACTACTGAATGAGCGCAGTGCTGGCACACGCCAGCAGTGAGGCATGAGTGGCAAGCAAGCACTGATCCAAAGGATAGCGAGTCTCTGGTAAGGCCTGAGTGGGGGGAAAGAAGGCCCATTTCTCCAAGCTTAAGAGGCACAGCCCTGGATGTACACCTGACGGAGAGACATGAAGACATTTTCACTTATATTAACAGTAGGCATTTTCATGTGTCTTGGGGAAAATATAAAACCAGCACAACAAACTTATAAGCTGTATTTGTAAATAAATTTAAAAAGGTGAACTAAACTGCAAAGAAGGGAAGGAAGGGAACTAACTAGAAAGAGGCACTTAGCAGGAAGGACATGTTCCCTGTCTTGAGTGGCCATTACGTGGGTAATGACAAAACCAAAACCTATGGAACTGACACACTTAAGATGGGCGTATTTTATTGTGTGACTTCAATTTAGAAAACCAAGTTAGTTTTCAAGAAAACCAGTAAGTAGCCCCTGGGTATGGCAGAAACCTTAAATGTGGTGTGTAAATGACACATTCCAGAGACAAGGCTAGACTAGCCCTATCTGGAAGGACATGTGAACCACAGGTGCAGTTTTAAAGTTCCTAGTAGTTATATTTAAAAACGTGAAAATAGGTGAAATTGGTGTGAATATTCTTATGTAGCCCAAAATACTTAAAAGAACCCTGTTCCAACATGTGATCAATATAAACACTACAGAGCCTTTTTCTCCCAATTTTTATACTCAGTCACTGAAAGCTGGTGTGTCTCTTGCTGACATCACCTCTCCAGTCAGACTAGCCACGGGCTCCAGCAGTCGCAGTGGGGAACAATAAGTGCTTTTAAGGAGGGAGGGGCTTTACGCCTAGAACCATAACAGTCTAGGCTCAGCGCTGCCCGAGGTATAGGCTTATAGCTGAGGAGAAAAGACAAGACGAAGATGGGCTTTCTCTAATGTACTGATCTTAACAACAAAGTCAAGAGTCTGCTCCATGAGTCTGGCCACCAATCCACTGCCCGACACTGAGGGACCATGACAGTCCAAGGCTGCACCTCCGTCAACTCTCGACACGCGGAACAGCGACTGCCCTGGAGAGCCAGAGAGGCGGGAAGGGCAGCTGTGCATGCCTGGGTTCCTGTGAGGTCAGCCCACAGTCCTTTCCCACACGGAAGGAAATAAGCAGACTTAGTCACCCAAGCCCGCACTCTCAAAATAGGCAAGAAAGAAAAGCTATGGAGGGCTACATGCCACAGACAGACAGAAAACCTCGTTGGAAATAAGGAAAACTAAATTTGGAAATTTGAAACCAAACTATCTTTGTTCCATGAGTTCTACCCAAAAGCAGAGCCAGAAATGACACCCCGGTCAAATTCCCTTTCACAACAAAGAGGTCACTAAAATGGAGTCCTCCAACACTGCTGAGTCGTCTCAGAAACAGCATCATTTACTCTTCACCCAGGGAAAGCAGACAGCCAGTTGTTGGCTGTCTGGTCTTAAATATTTTTATTACCTATTAACATCCCTTTAGATTTGTAAAGTATTATCTACTGACAACTGTTACACTATTATCTGCTTTCTATTTATTTTTACACTCACTTCACTGGAGAAGCAGGTACTACCTTCACCTTAATAAAGTCGTTTTTGTTGATTGTCAGCCTGCGTCAAGAATAATATCTTAAGTGAATAAAAACCAGTCACCTGAAATTGTAAATTTAAATAATCAATCTGAAATGAGAAATTGGTGAACCTGTTTTGCGGTCTCATAGCTAAAGCAGAACACTACGAGCGCTGAGTCACAGTTATAACTGATCTGAGAAACACACTCTTCAGATAACATCAAAAGTTTTGTTGAAGGGATAAACACATTTCCCTTTATTTCCCCAAATCACATCAACATTAAATTCACGGCCTTTGAATCATTTCAAATCAAAACCCTAAATAATGTAAAATTTACTTTAGCAGAATGTTATTAAAGGTCACTTTTAATATACACCCTATACTTTCACCAATTTCTGCTATCGCCATTTTTCTCTAACATGTGGAGCCCCCAATCAATTGGAAATAAGACAAAGCTTTCAAAAAAATCTGGAAAGATTAATGTGGCTAAAAGGAGAGTTTGACATTACTGAGGCGATTTTCTAAATCGCCATCAGAGTCTTGCTCCGGACACCTTTGTTAGTCCTAATGGATTTGCGAAGCCTTGGGAAACAACCCTCCTTTGGATGGAGGGCTGGGAGATCTGTTTTTCTTTCTTTCTGTCTTAAATGACCCAGTATATCTTTTCTCTATGCACTTAAGAAGCCCAAAACAGAAAATAATGCTGATATGGGAATAAACTTTGATACTGAGAAATGAGAACAGAATCCTAAACTCATTTACAGTTGGATACTTGCATCTGCTTACTGTTCTTAATTGGAATAAAACACTATTTTTTTTTTTTTGTATAAAACCCCTAGCTAAATTCTACCTTCAGTAGCCTGTTTTGATTCCTGCAGATGTCCAAGAAAGGGAAGAAACCCAGCCAGCCATGGCCAAGTCCTGATTGTGCTATTCTCACACACCAAGCGCAGAGTGGCTTCCAGAAGCCCCTGGATTGGCTGAGCAATATCCACAAACCTACATCCTCTGGCCTGTGTGGCACTTGGCACAGACCTAAACAGCAGAGAGCTTCACAGCTCCAAATACACTTAAGTGTGCCAATGACAATAAGCATTGGTAGAGTAACAAAAAATTTCAAATAAGCCCTCCTGTCCAAAGATGAGTAGACATAAAGCACTGTCAAAAAAATAATTTCCAAAGACATGCTTTGATAGCTGAACAGAACAATACTGCAAAGGCAGAAATGCAGACTCCCACATATTAAGGAACAGGGTAAACCCCTCATAACAGCCAACTAATTGTTGAAAGAAGCTGATAATCCACATAAAAAAATTAACACCTATCAAAAACCCAGCAGCCAATATGAAGACTGCCTCAGGACTTAGGTGTCTCCCTGCTGGTTTAGGGGCACGGCACCGTGGTGGAGGAAGCACCCGCAGTGCAGGGGACATCCACGTACACTCAACACCCCTTCAAACGTGACAAGGGAAGATGTGTGGGTTTGTTCTGGGGGGGAAGGGGGGGAGTGGTGTTGCTTAATGGGAGGGGGGCACATCTATCATTAAAGCAGACTTAAGGGAATATCATTCAGAAGATACCATCCCCCACCACCAGTGAAAACAACAAAAGAATACCTTATATATTTGAGACACTAGACCCCATTACACTTGAGAAGAGTCCACTACACACATATCTCACCCCCATCTTGTCAGATGCAGAACAATCTATAGAAATTTTTTAAGCTGCCCCCACTTTCACGCCAGGTCTCTGTGACATGCAAAGACATTCATAGTTTCTCTATTATTGGTGAGAAAACAAAAAACCTGTCATTTTGAGCTATCATGACAGTGAAAGCTTGGTGCACGAGCAAACGTGCTATACCGCAGCGGCATTTACAGCCAAGAAGATTCCTACACAGCCCACAGCAAGCTCAGGCAGCACTGGCTCATCAAGCCCGAGGGCGCGCGCTCAAGGGCCACTCCAAAACGCCCCCTTCACAAGCAGCCGGTCTTCTCAGCAAACTGAGGATCTGTGCCAAGAACATTCCCACGAACAGCGGTGATCTGGAGGAACTGGCAATCGATCTGTACATGTTCAACATACAACTGGAAAAACATCTGAAGGCGAATAAAACTGCACGGGCTTACATACCTCCATATCTGGCCTAAACTTATCTTCAAACACAGCCATTGCTGCCAAGGAGCCAGAACCTGTAAGACAAAGATGCGCTTTTTAGTGTATTTACCAACTCCCAGCTTCTCCCTCTCAAGTTCACCTCGGGGCAGCAAAATGGCAAAATGTGCCCAATGCCACATTCAAGTACAGTGTAAATATTAATCCTACAGGGCCACATAAACCAGGTAAGCACTGCACTTCAAAAGCCTGGAGTCACACTACCACTACCTCAGGTAAACGTGCAACCGGCCTTACTTCGTCTACTGATGGGAACTGCAAATTATTCACACTAAAATGCTGAAGTATGAAAATGAGGTTATGGAGAACTTATGTTTTACAAAAAATGAATCCCACAAAATTTCATATCTCCTCTGCTCTGAGTCTTGTGCTCTACAACTGTGCCTTGGCAGGCTGCTAGGTATAGTGCTAAATACCAAGCCAGATAGAAAGAATAGATTGTTCTAATGAGCTGGACCTGGCAGAGTCACCTTGACACGCAGGGAAGAACTACAGCTCCAGCGATGGTAATAGGACGATAAGCTGCAGCCACCAGGTTATTCCAGCTACAACTGTAAAACACTTTATTATGTGGCATTTATTTGGAGCTGTTATTTTTAGTTTGTACTTTGAAGAGTAACAGCTGAGTAGACAAAATGACAGACAAAGAAACAAAAATTTATTATCACAAAAGCAAATGGCTGAAAGGTTATGCTGCACAGATATTAACAGGGAGCAAATTTCTCTCGACGAAAGTGGGATGTAAAGGCATTACAAATAAGTATGGGCTCCCTTTGAACGGTGTAAAAGGCAGCTCAGCACTATTTGAAAATTTAAACTTGCTTTGTTCAGAAACCAGAGAATCTTTAGAAAACTATCAGCTTGTCTTTACAGGGTTCTGGCAATATTTCAGGATACTCCACTTTTGGAGAGAGAATAGAGTTGCCCACAATTTTTTACTCCAATTAGAAGATTTTTTTGGCATTTATTACTTTTTAACTTGTTTTGCATAACACTATCTATTTAGCTGGGTCACAGAGAAAACCATATTTTCTATTTAAAATGATTTGTGTACATCGCTTGACCACCTCAATGGTTTAGCAAAGGAAAAAGGCAGCGATTAAACAGTTTCAAATGAGGTGTCCTGCTGATTTTATCAAGTCTGCTGAATGTATAATGAAAAAGGAGAAGCTGACAGCAATGCTGCATTGAGAAAATACAGACTACCTTATCTGAACCATTTAAGGAGGTCCAATTATAGATCAAATTTAAAGGGTAGAAACAGCAGATTTACAGACACAAATCAATGAACATGGTAATCCCGATGAATATGACAGATACTCCTGTTAGGGAATACCGCCGTGGCTGAGGATCATTGCCTTCCCAGCACCGGATACATCACATCTAAAGCAGTGGGAAGCGTCAAGTGCAGACTGGCATTACAAGCAATGACTATTCATTTAGGCTTTGGGAGCAAAAGGCAGCCCCATTTTCCCCTCTCTCAATTTTTTCTCCTTAAAAAGAAAAAAGAGGGGGGACCAAAGGCTATTAAAAGCCCTCTGAAAAGGAAATAGAACTTACACAGATATAAAAGCAGTGCACCCAAGTAAAACTAGCACAAATGCAAACGCAAATTCACCGTACCAAACCTCTGAATTACATAGTAAGTGTGTCCTTGGCAGTCTGGAGGCACAGACTCCAACATTTGTGAGCCACGTGTTCATGCTGAGATTTGGGGTGAGGGGAGTAACCCAAGTGTCTGCTTTGAGGCACGGGTGAGAACCAGTCTTTGACTTCTAGCAAAAAGTGAGCTGGTTTTGTATGGAAACAAGGCAGTTGTCATGAAGAAACAAGAAAATTGCAAATAAACTCAGAAAAACACTTTCAGATACAAAATACTCCCAGGAGCACCCAACAACAAGCTGGCCTTTCCCAGAGTGATCCAAAAATATCTCTGCAGAAAGTCCAAGTGTAATCGTACCAGACACCCCAAATAAACACTGGACAGGGAAAAATTTACCCAACAGCTAACAACTTTATGGAAAACTATTGTCCAAAGGGAAGTGAGTTTACTTTCAAAGCACATCTCCTTAAAACTTACTAGTCCTATTTTTTTTCTCCTGGCTCATCCTTTTGCAGTTTCCCAGTTAACAGACTAAGTTTATTTTTCCTAGGCACATATACTTCCTTTCTCGTAACTTCATGCAATCTTGTAAGAGATAAAAAATAGGGCCTCCCTGGAGGCGCAAGGAGTTAAGCACCACACTATGAAGCAGTCCACAGCCTCTGCAGCACAAATTCGATCCCCGGCCGGCCAGGGAGCAACCCACATGGCACAGCAGACCTCTCCTGCCTCGCCCGCTGCTCCCCTCAGCAGTGTATTTCAGTCAGTCTGCCTGTTCTGTTCCCCACTCTGTCTCTGGTGAATCCTCTCACCCCCCACACCTCTGGCCTGTACCCCAGCTCTTGTATGCATAAATAAATAAATCTTTAAAAAAAAGAGAAAAAAAGAAAGAAAAAATATTTTCTCTCCCAATATAATTTTTCCTCTATCAAGAACTTATTTTCCTGTTTAGAAACAAGGCTGCAGGAAAAAAAGGCCTATTAATGGAAATTATGGACTGAAATCCAGACTCTTAAAACAGAAAGTATCTATCAAGTTTGAGGAGGCTCCTCACAGCAGGAGAGATTTTTTTAAAAAAGCTGAAACTGTAGCAGAAATAAACCTAGGAAGGACACTGGGCTCTTATTACATTATTCTTCTGCTTCCAATTTTACATCATACCCCCTAAATCACATTCAAACTACCCACCTATCTACTTCTCTCCCTCACCCACGCTCCCTCTCAGCAGGGGCTTGCTAAACTGCCTAGCGCTGCCTCCCCTGAAATCAAAGATGCAGACTCCAAAAATTTGAAAAGAAAAAGAAATTCAACCTTAAAACAATTTCTAAACCACGTGCAATCGTCTCCTGCTCCCAGCTTCTTAGGAAAGGAGGACTTTGGCGCCCCCTTTTCAGAAATACGCTGAATTACTAGGAGACGACATACAATCGCCTCTGTCAACAGGTTTCTAGGAATCCCTGAAAGTGTCTGCTATTTAGAAAAGTGAGTGCTTCAAATATGGCTGCAATTGGCCCAAGTGGGCAAAAGAACAAGATGCAAATCCTCGAATGATTCCAAGGCAAAGGATTCAGGGAAAGGAACAAGGAATTGGCCATTAAAAAGGGGGGGGGGGGGAGCCCGAAAGTGCAATGAAACCAGTATTCTTTAATAATTTCATTTAAGTTCCCTCGATCTTGTTCCAACACCACATAAAACTATATAAATAAATCACCTAATGCCACACAGGTTCAGCAGCATGTGACCTACAGAATGTTTAAATAGTATATCCCATTTTCTCCACAAACCACAGTAATGCCCTGAGACATGTCATTATCTCAGCATCAGCCAGCCTGACCAGGCACTCTCATACCCCAAACCAAAGCAAAATGCCTTGCAAGGACAAGGAGCCTGATTTTTTTTATTCCAAAAACAAGGCCAGCTGGTTTCCCATTTAAGGAACAAATAAGCAAGAAGCCGAGGGACTGCACGGCCACGGGCCTCAGCTTTAGCCGACAGGCAGAGCAGATGAAGGGACAGGTAAGCAGGTAAGCTTTCCACAGGGCAGGATGAGCTCCGCGAGCAAGGGGCACGAGGCCTGCTCTCAGGGAACTTGCAACTGGGTGGAGCAGGTCGCCAAGAGGGAAGAAACAAGAGCATTGTCTTGAGTGCCCACATGTACCAGGCAGAGCCATCCTCACAGCAACCCATCAAGGCAATAAAGCTTCTTGTCCAGGATCACAGGACCAACAGCACAGGGCAAGATGCACCCCCATGTCCTTCTCTCACACAAAATATTCTACATGCCCCAATCCAGAGCAGAGTAGACACATAAGACCCTCTATGACCAGGTCTCCGCCTCCCTCAGTTCCCCAACTGCTCCCAATACAAACACACAGACATACTACCAAAACCTAACTGACAATTAATTGCTAACTACCCATACCACTGCAAACCTATCCCACCTTTGCCCCCAACAGTCCACAAACTCTCACTCACCCTTCAAACTCAGGTGAAAGATTACTTCTTCCCAGGAGCCCTCCCTGACCTCCTCCACACCCCCATGAGTTCATCACTCTCGTCTCTGCAACTGCCATCCTTCCTATCTGTGACCTCTGGCACACAGTGAGCACTAAATGGAAGGTGCTGTATGGTGTACGACCGTCCAGTGGAGGCACCAGGGAAACAGAGCAGGTCCTGAAGAAGCGGTGATAGCAGTATTAGTACTGACTTGATAAAATATAAAAGAACATTTATTGCCTAATTTACCATACGGGGATAAAGAGAAGACAAACTCAATGTAAAGCAAGTTCAATTTTCAAAAAGAAAGAGTGGCTTTAAACCCACAGAACCATGTCCTGTTCTATGTCTGCCCTGGGCCAACCCTCCATGGCACCCAGGAGTGAGACACCCTCCTTGGGGTCCACATTCTGGCAACAAAGCGCTCTGCCTCACCGGCAGTTTCCATGTAGCTGCTCCCCAGCAACATCCACCAAACCTGCTGCGACTGAGCCCACTCACAGTTACTGAGAAGCCCGTGTTGCCTCCTTAAAGCAGAAAAATGAGGTACAATTCAGTGATCAGCATTTAGCAAGACCAGGACTCTGTACAAGTCTGTGATGGCTCCCTAGTCCTGCATCCACTGTGCTCCCCCAGGCTCACCCACACACTCACCCACCTGCTCAAACACTCAACTCCCAAACCACCGGGCAGCCAGACTGTGGAAAGAGACAGGGAGATGGGAAAGAATTCACAGCTCAGCCCTCTTCCACCATGGGGGACCAGGAACTGCTCTGCACCCCACCTACCGACTGCAACCACCTGGGGGGACACCACCCCGATTTAGCAGCTTCCACTTGGTGCTCATTAAAAGAATTTCTCCTACAACAGACGCCCACTGAGTCCTAGAGAGCAAGTCTGCTCCCCACCTGACTGTCA